TCATGGGGCAGCTCTGTGTCTCTTCCATCTGCCACCCCACTCTAGTGACACCCAAGGGAATGGCAGAGAAAGGGGTGGGGAATTCATTTTAGGGGGCCAAAAAAAAAAAAAGAATCAGGGTCCATCAGTCTAATGGGCAGCGATTCTGGTTCCTCTGATGGGCCGGGAGGAAAAGGACACTGGCTGGGTGTGTGGATCTACCAATCTGTTTGACAAAACAGTGGGCCACCCTTGTCAAGCTCTGCTTTAGTCTGCCTAATAAGACACGCACACCCCTGATTATCCCTCAAATGAGAAAGGGGTGCACTGTATTTTGCACACACACGCACAGACGTCACACACACCCGGGGCTAATGTCAGCCTAATGCATGGCCATGCTGTGGCCACAGGGCTAATTGGGTATATAAACACAAACACATCCCTTGAGAGAAACGAAAGGGGAAAAAAGGTGTATTTTGTGCTCCTTCCCATTGTGAGAAACTCAAGACTTGAGCTGAAACAGGAAGCTCATCGTCTTTTTATCGATGATGAAAGATGACAGGGTTTCGTTCCCATGTGCCCATCAGCAGCTGGATGCTCTGATGTGGATGCGGGCTGACTCGGCGGCAGGTGGCACATCGTGCTGTCTTTATTCAAACTCTGATCAGAAAACGGTGAACTGCGCCGCTGCACTTGAGGTAACGGCAACAACGAAACAGTCGTGAGGAAGAGGCGAGCATATGGCTCCTGCAGCACGGGCAGAAGGAGCACTCAGCAAGATAAATGCTGAGGTGTTGGCAACAGGGATGACTTTAACTTGTCAAATTAGCAACATATCAAAGGAAAGGGGGGAGAGACGAGGAGGAAGAGGCAGGCGCCAAGTGAGTGGCTTCCTGTCGAGGTCAGATCACAGACATGTTGAATGTTTCAAGTGTCTTTCATTGTCACTGCTAAAATACAGTTTGCCTATTTTATATATCAAATAATCACACTCACGTAGACATGAATCCACTGGGTGCTACCCCCCCCCCCCCCCCAGCTTTGAGGGCTATGTTAATGAAACAGTTGCTGTTTCCTGGCATAACATTAATTACCCGATCAAAATAGAGTGGGTAATTAACTGCCCTTTTTTAGCACTGCTAATTACATTACCAGGGAAGGACCGTTTTAAGGGAGCAAAAGAGAGAAAGAAAAGAAGGAGTGAAGCAATGGCAAACAAAGAGAGAAAAACAAGGTAAAGCACAAGCTTCTGTGTGTGTGTGGGGGGGGGGTGTTTTTTAAGTGAGAGGAAGGGGCTGCATTGGAGAGAGACTCATGTGGTTCTCACTTGGGCCCCCAGAGGCTTGGTCCTCGGAGAGAAGCAGGCTTATTGGAGAGGAGAAAGATGCTGGGGGGGGGGGGGGGTGTTTATCTTGACATGCTCTACTCAGTCTTTAACGCTCGCATCACAATTAAGATGCTGCGGCTCATCAGCTATGTATACAAAACAGTGTAACAAGCTGCACGAGCACACAGGTGATGGGCACAGTCAAAAATAGATCCAGCACAGCCTCAGATGGGGAGGCTCGCAGAAAAATCTCATCGTTCAGAACATCATATGTTAGCGTGTGAAACGTCGTGGAGTTAAGACATATTTTGGAAACAGACAGAATTTACACATTTTCAGCAAATATCATTCTGTTAGTGCAAAGAAAATGTGTTCACACCAAGTCTTAGGTCAACCTCCGTAGAGGTGATTGAGTTGTAGCCAGTTTTTTGTTTTTACCCCTCCTGCTGACTGTGGGTTAAAACTTCACATGGTCTGAGGCCTTGAGCCAAGGGCAGCAGGAAGGCTGTGGCAGCCATCAAGAATCAGGTAATCTGTTCTACATCCAATGATTACTTTCTTCAAGTTTCACTAACATTTATCCAGCGGTTCATGAGATATTTCGCTAACAGACAGACACACRAACACAAATAAAAGCCTTTTTCAGCAATGGAGGATAATTATGTTTTTTGCACACTATTAAAAACATAACTTTCTAAAAGCTGCAACAACTTCAACTGGGACCACGTTCCTTMTTTTTCTTGCTTATTTGTTTTATTTGGAGCACAAAATATAATTACACCTTGAAATTTACAAACCACATTTGCACCGTTTTTGTATCAATCCAAAGAAAGATTTCTCAAGAAACATAATAATGCAT